CTTCGCGAGTTTTTCAGAATTTAAAACAAGTCATAAAAAACTGATAAGTACCTCAGATGGATGGAGACGCTCGGAAACCTTCCACCACCGAAAATAGGCAAATCCACATCGACAAGCATACGAAAGTCGTGAAATTCCCAGAGATGCGCTAGACTTCCTGGACTGTTCTAGAATGCAGAAGCATTCTTGTGCCCAAAGCTAATGAATTTCCTACAAACCTCGGATGTGATTCTGTAAGAATAGCTGTTGAACATTTTTGGAAACTCCAAGTTTGAACTTGAAGTCGCGATACCTATGAAAAATGAGAATAGAATGAATAGTTATTGCGAAAGTCCTAATTTCCTGTAGTTTGTTCATTGACTGTCAGTCTGCCCCAATTTTCGCCACATCCATTAATGAATATTCTTACCACTTTCCCTTAGGACCAGCTCAGCCCCAGCACTTAGCACAGATTCGCAGCTGGACGAAGCAGAGATAGGCCTGCATCAAGAAACCCACATTGAAAAGATAGAAGAGGGCTTATTCATAACTAACGAGTTCCAGATTAAGTTCTCGTAAAGAGATAGCTGTGGTGTGAAGTTTGTAGCCGGCGGTTCGTCGTCTCTCCAATAAAGTTGCGGCAGAAGCTCGCATTTTTGCTGCAAAAGAAATCCGAATTTCCATCCGACTACCATTACAAGCTTGATTTCAAAGACAAAATGGGAACATACCTTTCGAGAGAACTGGTGATTATCCAGATAAACAGTTTTTCCGACTTTGTGGCAGATAAGGCTCAGTGGACCCGCTGCATACGGTTCCATGAGAATTTTTTTGATAGCAGAACCGGATCCCACAACATTTACGGAGGGAACTTCATTCGCGAACGAATAACCCATATCAAGGCTAGAAGAAAACATGAAATAATGCAGTCCTGAACTAAAAAATTATTCAGCATTCACCTTGTGTTGAAAAATTTTCTTGAGCGTTTTCTGAAAGCTTCATAATAAGTGCTGTCCAAAACCTACAGGGAAGATCTTGTTGAGACCATACAAATGAAGTTTCTAGTGGTGCACAGACCTGAGGTGGCGCTACGTTGAGATCAGTGTTGATGGGTGCCATTCTCATGACAGCAACATTGTCGGTACGCCTATTCATCAGAGACAAATCTAGGTTGTCGTCAAGCTGAAAACCCTGTTTGAGTAGTTGAGCAACAGCGTCACAAGTAAGCCGATCATGCTGTATTTAAAGTCTATTGGTTATGAGAAAAATCTGCTGCAACCATTCAAGAATGCCACAAAAGGAATGATTTGCACTGTAAATATCTCACTGTAAGCAAATTCAAGTTTGTTTTTTAGAGACAGTTCCGCTAGAAAGCATAAACAGCAAGGTAAGGAAAGGCTCAAGTTGTCCATCGAAACAAAAAGCACCTTTCAATTTCGCTGAATTACACGCCGACACGAGTTATATAGTAATTCGAATCATCCATGACTTTTGCATCTAATGAAGAATGAATTTGCGGCAAGATGGCAAAATTCCATGGAGGCGCAAATCCGGACACAGCTTTTGATCAAAGCAATCTTAGCAAGTTGAATGGTTGCCTTTGATTTTCACATCCTGCACTTATCACTTGAGAGACAATGCCATTCTTAAAGTATCACGAAAGTGCCAAGCTTGGGTCATAATGGATTGTATTATAGCGAGGCAATTTTGCAATTGATAATGCAATCGCGCTGACACTCTTCACATAAAACTTTCGAACTTTCGGGAAATAATGACGTGCCAAT